GTGTGTGCGTGTGGGTGGGTTGGTGGGTTGGGTTGTAGGGGCGGGGGGGTGCGCCTTCCCTTTTTTGTCCCCGCCCAAAAAGAGGAAAAAAAAGCATAAAACCTTAAACGAAAATTTGAAAAACAAAACCAAAAACGGAAAAGCCGGACCTGGAACAACTGACGCACGCCGGACCCGGAACGACTGACGTGCGTCAGACGACAGGCGGCCACAAACGAAATGACAGATGCGCGGCCCGAAACGACGGGCCGACGGCAAAAACAAAACAAAAAAGAAAAAAATTGAAAAACAAAACCGAAAACGAAAAAGTCCGACCCGAAACGACAGACGCACGGCCTGAAACGACGGGCAGCCGGGAAAAGCAAAAGCAAAATGACGGCGAAAACAAAAAACAAAAAAATTGAAAAGCGAACCCAAAACAAAAAAGAAAAATATTCCAAACCCGCTTATCCGACGGCAGCCGCTTCGAGATATTCCCTCACATCTACATCGGCTGCCGCCCGGCCTCGTAGGCGCGGCCTCTCGTTTCATGGCGCGTTGTGAACATTTCGGAACGCGCGCCCCTCTGCACACTTCCCCGTTCTGGATTGCGTTCATCCGCCGGCCCTCGTCAAAACTTCAACCCCGAATCAGGCGCGCAGCGGACCACCGACCTACCCCCGTGGCCAATGCTCCTTAAGGGATAGGATCCCACTTGCGCCTTTACATTCTCCCTTGTGCAGTCTTGTTTGCTGGTGCGCATATATATTGCATTACTCGTATGTGTGTGTTGAGCTCTGATCCTACTCCTAGAGCATGGCATTCGCTGGGCCCAGCGGGACATCGTTTGACAATCGAACACATTTTCTTGCATAACGAGTAACCCCTCTTCCTCCTGCGGTTTGGGCATGGGGCAGACTGTGAGGCATGCTTATGTCCAACACTCTCATAGTGGCAGACAGATGAAACCACGCAACCCAACATCATGAAGAGAAGAGAACGTAGGGGGCAAAAAAAAAGACATCTATCACAGGCTTCATAATGTTATTCGTTTCTGTGAACTGTTCCCTGGCTGTAAGTTTTGGTCGTGTTCATCTCTCTCATTAGATGGAGGAGGAGCGGAGAAAAACAGTTCCTCTCACAGAAACCCAGAAGTTGAAGCAAGAAGCTGATGCTGGGTTAGTATGCCTTGACATTCATTCTCTTCCCCATTTGTCATGTTACGCAGGGCAAGGGAGGGGGGAGGGGGGAGGAGGAGGGGGGGGGCGAAAGACAGAAAAGGTTTTCCTTTTTTTTCCCCTAGTTCCCAACCAAAATTGAAAATTCTTTATTATCAGGCCCCAGTGCCCAAGGCAAACACATTGTCTGAGAACTAGATGAGGGACAGCTGGGTTATCTTGCGAGTATACTCCAGCCGTGATAAACAAAGGTATACTCGCAAGAGTCGCACCCATTGAAATCCTGAGAGGGGGCCGATACGCCCCAACCAAAAGGAAAACGAAGATCTACGACTACCGTCTTCACCCGATAGAACGCCTGGTCATTATCGCTGCATCTGGAGAGGAAATTGCCCCAAATACGGCTATAATGACCGGGCATTATATTCGGGTGAAGACGGTAGTACTTTGGAAGAAAGGACCGAAAAAAACAGGCACCCACTTGCTTTGTTCACCACAGCCAATTTCGGATTAGCAGCCCAGTGCTGTGAAAACCACTTATAGCCGCCGCTGGAATGCAGGCCCATCCATCCAACCTACCATTGCCAATCTATCTGTACCTCTTGCCTAAAAGCGTCGCCAACGTGCACGTTAAAGGCCTCCAGATCAAGAATCTCTTGCTGCCACAATTTTGCATTCCTTGCCTTCCAAGGAGTCCACAACAATGCGCCTTGTGTCATCTCCAATACATACCGCCGCTTGTGCACTGGTGTTTCAGGTAGCAAGGAGCCAAACATGATAACTTCATCATCCCAAGCAGAGAAAACGGAACCTGCAAAAGGGTTCTCGGCACTGGAGGATTTGGAAGTGGGCCCGGCAGAATGGGCATGGAACCTCAGGGGAGGGATACTGAGGTTAGCCAGAAGAACAAACATACTACACTGCACAACCAAATTAGGATACAGACTTAGAAGGAGGTCTCACCCACTGGCAGAATCACTGGCTATTCGATGGGAAAAGAGGCTGGAAGTGCCTAGGGCGCAGGTTGCTCGACTGCCGTGGTCAGCGTTGAACAGCATAAGGGTAGGCAGGGTCAAAAGCATGCAATGGCTGATTTTCCACGTGGCGCTCCCAGTCAATGCCTGGTTGTATGAGCGCCGCAGTCACCACCAGAAGGACCAGCTCAACCAGAAGTGCCACCTCTGCACGGATGGAATCGTTGCTTCACTGTCTGGTACAATGCCCAGAGGCGGCATACTTATGGGAATTAGCAAGGGAACTGTGGGGAAAGATCTCAGACGAGTCCTTTCCGGAGGACAGGAGGATGCTCCTCACAGCCATGGAGCTTCCAAAGGCATGGCAACAGGGACAGAGACGGGGATTTCAATTACTGAGACAATGTGCATTATGGACCATATGGAAGCAGTGACGCACAGCTGCCAACTGACGATAGGAAGGGGACAAATGCACAGATTGGAGACACCACACAAGTCCTACACAATCTTCTGGGAGACGGATATCACGGCCCAATGGCAAAGAGCAAGAAGGCAAGCTCAACAAAACCTGTGTCAAGCCCGGGAGATAATATTTAAAATTTGTGAGCAGATAACGTTGGCAAAAGGGAAGATAGCAGCAATTGAAGGGAACAGATTAGCCTTCCATTTGGTTTGAGAACGAGGAACAACGAGTGCAGGGCTAAGGCGTCAGTCATGAAAAGGTAGTACCTAAGTTAAGTCAGAATAATGGGAATATAGCAGTAGAACAGCGAGAAAATGGAGCTTTATTTAAACAGAAAGTAGAAGCACTAGGTAATGGATGAATAGAGGGTTTAGGGTCTAACTGGAGGGGGTCGAATTACAGGATCGGTCAAGCAGGTGTTCCGGGCTCCGGTCCCAGGGGGTCCCGTCAAAAGCATAACACTGGGTAAAGCTCCCAGATCCCGTCTTTATGTGGGGTGGCCGGCCCCTGTTCTGAGTTGTTGGTTTTTTTTTTTTAACAGGTCCTTACGGCCCTGGCTCCATTTCCATTCTGGGGAGCATCAGTCCGGTTCCTATTCCACCGGCAAGTCAGAAAGAAATATTACATCATGACACACACTCATGCTTCCTTCCATCCGGCCGAAGGAACCCTGACCAGCATTGATTACTCCCGCATCGTGGAGGATTGACTGTCAGCTTGCCTTACTTACACCTTTCCTCTCAGGTCCACTACATGAGCCTGCCAGATAAATAATGAAGAGTAAGATAAGGTAAGAGAAGCTTACGGAAGTTGCAGTCTCGGGATTCTCCCGCCAATATTATGTGACCTGTGATGGATGTTGTCCTTCTGCTGGCTGGGATCTCTGCCTTCTCCACCCTGCTTCTGAGTTGTGCGAGTCTTTCCATCGTATGTGGAAGTCATTTATCTCTGCCACTTCGCCCCTTACAAGCCACACCTTAATGAATTTTGCCTTGATTCTTCTCTGTTGTTCTTCGTCATCTGGCATGGACTGTCTTGTCTTGTGCCACTTACAAAGGATATCCACCTGAATCAAAGTCTTTGTCTCCACCCATACCTTCTCGCTTGGAGTTGAGAGTCCCTCCATGGTTCTACAGCACCTTTCCTTCCAGATGGACCACAGCGTTACCTTTCTTATCATTCCAAGCCACATTTTCTCTGTCTTGTGCAATTGAGCTGGGATGTTAGTTCATAGGAGTTGGATGGGATGTTCAGGGAGGGGAGACTAGAAGAGGGAATCCCAGAGATCCGAGGCCCTTGCCCAGTATTCGGTCGCCTCTCTACAGTGTATCAGGCAATGTAGCATATCTTCTGGTTCATTATCTGAACATACCGCTCATAAATCTGAACTGTTGGGGTCATTCTTGGGGCCCTGTTCTAAGTTTTAAGGCCCCCCCCCCCAAAAAAAAAAAAAACAAACCCTAAACCCTAAACAAAAAACAGGTCCTTATTATAGCCCTGGGTCCATATTCATTCTGGGGAGCATCAGTCCAGTTCCTATTCCACTGGCAAGTCAGTTATACGACAAGGAGACCATCATGCTTCCTTCCATTTGGCCGAAGGACCCCCTGAGCAGCATTCGTTGCTCCACATCACATGCCTGGAGGATTGACTGTCAGCTTGCCTTCCCTCTACATTTCCTCTCAGGTTTGCTTTCCCAGACCTGCCAAATTTAACTTCAAACTTCAAAGTTCAAGCCAAGAAAGGACAATGGAATGCGGAAACCAAAAGCCTTTGAAAGTTTGTGGACTGTCCGATTTGGAAGTCTGTACTTGCAACTTATTGATCGCTTCCCTGTAATTCTCCTCCTCTCTGGCATGCGAGCAGATTAGGTGGCCTGTATCAAGTCCTGTAGGTCTGATGATTGGGTCATCTGCCATTTGAGCCCCACGTCTGAGTTGTGCCAGTCTTTCCACCATATGCAGGAGCCATTTATGCCTTCTACGCTGTCTCCCACCAGACCCTTGCAGGAGCCATTTATGCCCGCCACGCTGTCTCCCACCAGCCATACCCTTGTAAACTTAGCTCTGATTTTCTGCTGCAGGTCCAGATCGTCCGGCATAGAAAGCTTCATTTTCTGCCATTTGCATAGAATCTCCGCCTGAGTCATTAACCTTATAGCTGCCCAGACGCTTTAAAGACCAACAACCAACAACCAACAAACAACGACCAACATACAATGGACTGGAGAGGCCTTGAAGGTGTAGATTTTATATTTCTTTATTGGGGAAACTACGCGGGCACTATGGGCCACATACAGTTTCGAATTGCAGTTCGGGCAAAGTATACAACCCAGCTTTCTGGCCAGGTAGGGTGCAAACTGTATCTTGCCCCATAGTGCAAATTATAACTAGTTTTTGTGACTCTACTGAAGTTATCCCCTTGCCCGAGTGGGCGAGGGAGAAGGGTGATGCTGGGTGCACACGCTGCATTCCAGTCCTGTTATTTGGCACATTATGTCCTCCCCGAGAGTAAAGCCTCACATTTTGTGCTAAGCGTTATTGAGTGCGCATTACCCCTTATTTATTTTTAGGCTTTTAACCTAGGGAGATATCCCGGGCGCCCGGGTCCCGATGTCACGCCCGGTTTGGCGACCGGGTGACTGGCCGGGCATGACCCCCGGGCATGGCCCCGGGCAGCCCCAGCGCAAAAAAAAAAAAAAAAAAAAAAAAAAAA